CCGCTCCTCGGCGCTACTGGACCAACCCAGCAGCACCCCAGCTGCTCTGCCCCAGGCGTCCCAAGTCAGCCGCTGCTGAAACTGACCAGCGCTGACTACAGGAAGCCCGAGGCAGAGTTGCTCTGCCCCAGGCTTCCTGGAATCAGCCGCTGATCAGTTTCAGCAGCAGCTGACTTGGGGAAGCTTGGGGTTCTTAAGTTGAATCTGTATGTAAGTCAGAACTGGCGGTCAGTTTCAGCAGCAGCTGAATCTGGACGCCAGTTCCGACTTACATACAGATTCAACTTAAGAACAAACCTACAGTCCCTATCTTGTACGTAACCCGGGGACTGCCTGTAGTCAATTTGCTATGTCTGCCATGGCATCATACTCACTTAAGTATTGCAGTTAGACAACTGGAGGCACATCTTATGCTTAGGATTTCACTAAGCTGAGCCACTGTATGAATTGTATCCTAGCAAATAGTCCAAGTCAGATAAGTTGTCTGGCCTTGCTGGACAAATGGTTGTAGTTGGGGGAAAGTATTGGAGAACTATAGGTAGTAGAGTGGCACTATTCTGTATCCAACTACAGAATGGTCATGTTAGTAGGTTATGAGTTGTGCTTGTTTGAGCCTATATTTCATGGGCCTGCTAAGCTGCTTGAATTAAAATCATAACCACGCTTAAATTAAAGGTTTTGTGTGGGTGTGCGGAGGAAATTCCGGTTAGGGTCAGCACGTGAGTTATTACTTGAGCTAACTGCAGTGAACACATGCCCACAGACCTAAGGGTAGGGTGGGTGGGGATGTATGATCTCTTTCTAAGGGAAGCCAAAAAGAAACCTATGCAGAAAAAAATGTTTAACTTGCTTACTTGCTTTCAGCTGGCACCTGCAATAGAAGAACCTATTTAGTGTAAGTATAGAACATAAAATAGAAGTTGATGTAACTGGGGGGAAAAAAACGGGGGGGGAAAAACAGGTTTTCCTTACTTCATGTTCAAAATATGCATCTTTTAGACAATATAGATTGTAATAGTACTCTCTCTTATAAATACTTCAGTCATGGGAAAGGCCATAAAGCTTTTGTTACCTACAGGGTGGAGTTATGAGATGAAGGTTGAGAAGCTACTCTAGGCAATGCTAATAACACGGTTGCTCTGTACCATCAGACAGGGGCAGATGATGGTTTTGCGGGGCCCCGGGCAGCATACTTCCGCAGGGCCCCCCCTTTGCCACGGCGCATGCGCAGCGGCGCCACGGCGCATGCGCAGCGATGCCATGCGCATGCGCAGCGGCACCACGGTGCATGCGCGGGGCTTTCTGAAGCGTGGGGACCGGGGCGGCCGCCCTGTTCGCCCTGCCGTATATCCGCCCCTGCCATCAGAGTTCAAGCATGTTAACTCCACCATGTTCATGACTACCAGCAGCCCTTTGTTTGTTTGCAGCTTGGGTCTTTTGCAGTTTTGTGACTCATTATACTCATGCCAAGCATCAGTAGCCCAGCATTTCCTCTTTAAACAACCCTCTTTCTCTTCAGAGTGATCATTAACGACTGATGACCAGTGCAGAGATTTACTCTTCATGTAACCTCATCCAGCACACTAAGCTCAATTGGGACCTTTGGGAAATACAGCCGTATAACGAGATTCATAATAATTAATGCACGTCTGCTTCGTTCTCTTTAGACCAGCAAAATTAATCCATGTATATTTGTAATTGTTTGTTTCTCCTGAGTGTATGTTTCTCTGTTTCCTATTGTAGACAGAAAGAATTTACTTTCAAGTATTCTTACCTAAGGGAAGCAAGGAGAAGAGGAAACCCATGTTCTTTTGCAGTAAATGGAGTATTGGCAAAGTAGTAGATTTTGCAGCTTGCTTAGCAGACCTTAAAAATGACAACAACAAATCAACAGCCAAGGTAAATCAGTGGTAGCACTTTTCATTTAATGTTACAGGGGTTTTTTTTTTCTATTCTTACTGCATGAATATGAACTAACAAGATTTTTTTTTTTTTTTGTCGGTGGGTGTTTTTTTGCAGAAATTAAGGCTGTGTCATACTGCCTCTGGAGAAGCTTTGCCATTGGACCACACGCTGGCTACTTGGCTGTCTAATCAAGAGTGTCCATTATATAATGGTGGAAACATTATTCTGGAATATCTTGGTCCTGAAGATCAGTGTGTAGAAGATATAAATTCATATTTAGAGTAGCTAATTGGTGAACTGGATGGAAACAAAGATCACAGGAAAAATCACTAAGCTAAATTGAAACACAACTTACCTTTAAAATGGGTTTGGGCCTGATTCAGCCTTAGTCATACAGCCACAATTCCCACTGACTTCATTGTGAGTTCCTTCCACATAATTGTGGGTAGAATTGAGCCCTATCTCTTTAAAAATAAATGTATATATTTTAATGCAGAACACTTGTGGTTACTTGAAACAATAGTTTCACCCTTGTAATAAATATTTGAGGTTGATCACTTTGAAATATTTATAAAGCAGAAAGCGTTTCAGTCATAGGACTGGTCAGCCAATCATAAGAAAACTAGCTAATCCACCAGTTATCAAAACTAGGGAGTGATTGATAAGTGAGCATCTTTCCTTTTATTCTATTGACATTATACAACCAAATGAAATTTTTTTCTTGAGGTTTTGCATTTTAAAGTATTTTTTTGTACATTACAAAGTATTGATGAGAACAATAAATGAATAAAATGTACATTAGCCACAAGAACCATTAACTAAAGAGATGACTATATATTAGAGCTTGGATACCTAGTTTGACCTAAAACCCTTCTTCAGTGTACATCTGCTTCTTTTGTGGCTAAACAGAGTGTTCTGTTTAGTAGGGCTGTCAGTCCAGTACCTTTCAAAAGAACTACAATAATGTATTTTTTATTCTTTATTTCTTGCTTTTAATAATGTACAGTACAGAGTTTGGGGGGAAATCACATTTTACAAGCTCACAGATGAGATATTGTCCTGGGGTTAGGGAGCTAACCTACTATTTGGGAGCCATGGGTTCAAGTCCCTGTGCTATCACAGATGTCCTGTGAGACCTTGAACTTAATCTTTCTGATCTTCAGTTTTCCATCTGTTAAAAGGAGATAATAGCATTTCCATATGTCCCTAGAGTGTTTCATGTATTTATCCTTAAGATTCTGAGGCATTTAATTACTACAGTAATCAGCACCATATAAGTACCAAAGACAAGCTAGTTTTCATAATATATAAAATGCTATTTTGCTAATGGTCAGAGATATTTGGGTTTAAACGGGTGTCTCCTCCCAGGCATAGACTCTATGTCATGCCACACATTCAACAGAATTGTTACACATGGATAACAATGCTCCAGATTTATGCAGCAGAAAGTCCAAGTTTTCGTTCATGTGTAAATCTTTAGATGCTTTACTAATGAGATCTTAAAGGGCAGTAACAGCATTACATACCACAGGAAGCAGGGTACAAAGGCATTTAAGTGTAGTGGTTTGCCTATGCAGATCTAAAGGAGTTTGGTAGACCAAGCCCGACCTTGTGAGAGTGGCACACAAAATCTAGAGGCGTGTAAAGTCAGGAAATCCAGAGTTTAGAAGATTGGGGGCTGTGACTGTCCGGGCTGTGTCTGGGCACAGCTGAGGGCGTCCGCTCAGGGCGAATTGCTCAAATCCGGGGCTCCTTACAGCCCCCAGACTGGTGACCTTCCCAAACAGGCCGCAAACCAGTCCCACAGAGCGCTTCAGCAGCCTGCCTGAAGCCTCACGAGCAAAACCCCTCCGACACCCCAGCAATATCCGTGCCCCAGATGGCCCCGGGCCTCATACACCGGTGGGGGGGTCTTAGCACCCAATCCCACGTACTCCGAACAAGTTCTGTCCGGTTCCAAGAAACCAGCCACAGATCTCTGGTCAATTTACCCTCTGGACCTTACCCACAAATCACGCTGGGCCAATCCTTTAGCATCTAACAACTAAAGGTTTATTACCACAAGAAAGAAAAGCAGGAGAGTAAGGTTGCTAAAGAATCATACGTTACATGGATCGAATCTCCCAGTTCTCGATGCAGGCTCTAGCAGAGATGTTACAGCCGCTGGCTTAAAAGTCCTTGTTGCGCATCCTAGATCAGGATGGGTCCACAGTTCTTCCTGGCTCTTCGATCCCTGCACTGCTGCCTCTGGGATGAAGTGCTGAGCTCAAGACCAAGATGGCGTCGACCACATGGCCTCTTTATACATCCTTCCTGGCCTCTTCTTGGTTGCAGAAGGTCACCTGGCTGTCAGCCTCTCTCTGCTGGCAGCTCTTAGGTGTCCGCCCTCATGCTTTAGGTGTGTCCTTGGCCCATCGAGTGCCATTGTCCCACAGGGCCTCGCTAATTAGCATGTCCATAGGCCAGGCTCTGCCCAATGCTCAACCACATTCAGAGAAATATTCAGTATCCACACAGATTACAGATTCCTACCTACACACATAGACATTATACAACCACATAAATAGCGTACACAGGATCAGCAGACAGTAAGCTCCCATTCAACACCCCACATGGCCCCCCTTCTTTCAGCAAGCAAGTACTTCACTTCTGCCGTCCACCCCAGTAAAAGTGCCCTCCCCCCTTTGCTTCCAGATGTTACGCAGGACACCATAGACAACTATAAGCAGGGCTTGACACGCGGCGGCGAGCCCCACTTGCCAGCCGTGCAGTTTGGCACGCTGTGCGTGTGCAGACCGCGCTGTGCATGCACTGCTCACGCTCCCCAGCCATGCCGGGCTAAAATCTACTCGCCATGGGCGAGTAGATTACATTAATTGTTGATCCCTGGTCATTTCCTATGGGCTAAATATCCAGCATAGGAGATTTGTAAGAGCAGGTTAGACAGACATCTGACAGGGATGATCTAGATCAGGGTGGGGAACCTAAGACCTGAGGGCTGGATGTGGCCTCCAGCTCACCTGGATCTGGCCCCCGAGGCTCAGGACTCCCCTACTGATCCACCATGGGGCTGGAGCACACAAAATCTATTAGTCTGGGCCTCTTTAGGCTTTGGTGGGGGGAGTGTCTTTCTGCTTCTCAGTTGGGGGCCACATCAGTGAGTTGGGTGGTTTTGCTTTTCACTTTTGTACATAAGAACAGCCGTACTCGGTCAGACTAGCCCAGTAGCCTGTCTGCTGACAGTGTCCAACACCAGGTGCCCCAGAGAGGGTGGACTGAAGACAATGATCAAGCGATTTGTCTCCTGCCATCCTTCTCCAGCCTCTGACAAACAGAGGCCAGGGACACCATTTCTATCCCCTGGCTAACAGTCTTTTATGGACCTAACCTCCATGAAATTATCTAGCTTCTCTTTAAACTCTGTTATAGACCTAG